CACTAAAATATATTGTAGTGAGAAAGATAGACAGTAAAAGGCCTCTCTTTCCCCAGGAACCTGATAGGTTTTTAGCAGTTCATTTTGCTCCTTCTGAGAGTTTCTCTAGAGCAGAGAGAGTAGCTCTAGTAAAAGCTTCACAGCAATCTGGAAGGACCATACACTTGCAGAAGCCAGGAACCATATTCCCCTATAATAGATGGGAACAGATTCATAGGAGCAACTAGTTATCATAACCCCATTTATCTCCCTGCAGTGAGCATAGGCTTGTTTTAGTAGATTCTCAAGCATCCTGTTATAAGGATAAAGTTCTGCCATGTGCATTCATAACCTAAGCATTTGAAGCACTTTTATTTGATATAAACATTAGCAAAACGGTATGCTGGGAAGAGTTTGCTGAAGTGTCAGAAGAAAAGGTGACAAATAAATGCCAATGAAGGGGCAGATGCTGAGAGGTGACCAGCAACCTCATTTTCCACAGACAGCAACTGAAGGCATAGCACTTAGTAACTCATTTCAGTCCTACTCACATTAATGTCAGTGGCAAAATTCCTGATTGCTGTAAGATACTCAGATTTTTTATGAAAGTGGAGTTTGGAAGGGGTTTACCCCAGCTGGCATTGCTCAGCATACACTGGTGCAAGACACAAATTCCCCAACAGCACCTGAAATATTACTTTACAAAAAGTCAGAACAAAATTTCCTTATTACTCTCCCAGTGAGGACATGGAAAACCCATAGACCTCCAAAGCAGGCACAGACAGGCAATCACAAACCTGCTACTACTACTCACCAGAACATTTAGCTGGTGTGCATCATCACTGGCACTCAATCACTTCAACCGCTTTGATAGCTCTGCTTTTATCTTTCCCCTTCCCAGGGAGAGCTCTGTTTCATTCCTTTGTTCATAATGCTGTTCCTACTGGCCCCTTTTCAGTGCTACGAGTGGCTCTTTAAGACATAACCTTGTACTCTAAGGCCTTGAGATCGATCTCCCAACGTTCGATTTAGTGGGTCTAGAAAGCTTCCGCTAAATTGACTGCTGATTGCACACCCATCAATTCTTGTACTCCACCAGGTTGCAAGAGTAAGGTAAGTTGATAGGAGAGTTTCTCCCACTGCAATGAGGATGCTGCAGAAATTCAAACAAAGGTATGTCATCTCCAGCTATGCTATTCATGTAGCTGGAGTTGCATATCTTAGTTCCACTTTCTTCCCTAGTGTACATCTGGCCAAACTACACAAGAAAGTAGTTAGAATTAGCACAAGTGAATGACTCTGGTGTTTGAATCGCTGTTTTCCCTTCACCTTTGACAATACTTAAGACAATAGCCATCCCTTAAGCAAGCTACTAGGAAGTGAGATTTTCTGTTGGCTTTTTTTTTCCAATTTAAAACTCATTTTTCTGGATTTGACTACAATAAGCCACAATGTCTGAAATAAAGCTTTCTTCCAGAGTAAGAGAGGCTTTGCAGACCAGAACCTGCTGCTTCTTTTTAATTCTCCTAGAGCAGCTGACACACACAATCAGGAATCTGTCCCTGCCTATAGGCACTCAGATGAGGTATTCATTGTCAAAGATGTCAGCTTCTCTATGGCTGTGTCTAATGGCTAATAAAAACAGTCATTTAAGACCATGATTTGATTCCTTTGTCCTAGAAGGCAGAAAGTTCTGTATGCATGTGTCTAAAACTATAAGGTCAGCTATTAAGCAATTACAGGTTCCTTTTAAAGCTCTCTCAAGAGGGAGAATTTAAAAGCTTGAGGGTACCCCACAGGAAGAAATTCCAAAATGCATCTTCCTGGGTTCTCAAATTTTTTCTTTTTTGCATTTGGGTAGTGGCAATAAACCAACCAAGATCAGGAAATTTGTGACCTTGGGGAGTTTGTAAACAGAAGTCTTTAGGGGCAGGGTATTTTAAAGTCTTTTGTGGGCCCCTGCCTTTTTCACTCAAACCTCTAGAGTGGGAAGCAGAGGTGTCTGTTTCAGAAAGCCATGCAATGTTTTCCAACTCAGTTCTCTGAACAGACACAGCAGGAAGTATGAATTCATTTGTTATCAGCACTGAGTACACGGGAAACAGCAACACATGTCTAACCTTGTTTTTTATTGTAACTGGAGCAGAGACTATCCTGAGCTTCATAATAGAACTACCCTGCAAATGTGAAAAGAGCAACAAATTCCAGTAACATTTGTGTTGTTTTACAGGAAGTTTCAATTTGGAAAACAAAGAAAAACCATATCTGGAAGTCCCAGCTGAAACCAGGAGCTGCCAACTCAAAGTTAGTTCCTAAGAATCAGGATTTAGAACATGGTGGCAGAGGCAGAGTGGAAAAACTTGCAGCACTGCTCCCATAACATACTTGAGCTAAGAATGAATAAAACTTCCCTCTCCATGCCTGATCATGGAATACTTCAGTAGCAATTAACATGTCACCTCAACAGCTGTTCTGCTTCAGCCTGAGTTCAGATCTTCACCTAATGGCTAGTTGCCATAATGAATGCTGGATAAATAGCCATCAGATAGTAAAACTCTGTGGGGCTGGAACAGGCTCTTGGTGTACATGATGTAAGTCACTAAGCAAAGAGCTGAGATTTTTGATAATATTCACAATGCTGCCATTCTGGACCTCCAGTTTGGTTAACGTGTGCTGTTTATACTACCAAACCTGTGACTAGCTCGCACAACCATACATCCCTGAATGTCAGGTACATTCAATCTATTCCATTGATATCACAGATAGCAGTGAACCATTAGGAAAGAGTTAACAGTGGCAAACAACTAACAGCTGTTTCACCACATGGGGCACATGCAAATTAGTACAGGAGGTACTTGGAGTGAAATATCACTTCTATGAGGAAGACAGACAGGAGTGGCCCCAGAATAGTTTGGTAGTTAGTGCATGAAATGATGGTTACAAAGTGGCCTCTAGTGGTAGAGGTGGACAGAAAAAATCACATTACCTACCTCCATGTATGGTAGCACAGGAAAGCAGCAGGGAGTAGAATTAGAGGCTATGGAGGGTCAAACTGAACTCAGTCAGCAAGCAGAGACACTGCTGTTTTGGTATGCACAGGTTTTGCAATGCAATGCTGCATGGTACAAGTGGGACCCAGGTGTGCATCTTGGGTGCACTGAATTAATATTCCTTACCAGATGAGCTCCTAAGCATCCCTGGTGTAGATTTAAATTGCTTGGCACTCCGTGGTACCACCATCTCATCCAACAGCAAGTCAAGCTCTGGCCCACTGACCTAGGTAGTCCTCATTGGTTCAATGAGATAGCCTTCGCAGGTGGGGGAAGTTTGAGTCTGCATATTATTTCTCTGCCGCTCTTTTCCCACTGGCTGCACCTAGATTTATGGAGTTAGGTTTATCTGGGGAGGAGACTGCAGCACTGTTCCATTGCTGGCCTAGGGACAATCACAAGTGACATTGTTCTCAGAGCAACCCTATGCCAACCCTCCCTGATCAAAGCCTCTACCACAGTAACCATGTCCAACCAGGCATTTACCATCCTTCTTTCCTACTGATCCTATTGGCCAAATTCATCCCTGCTGTAACCCCAGAAATGTACATAATTGGTGAGGCAACCTGAGTCATCAATAGTGGTTAAAAAGTGCTAGAAACTGACATAGCCCCTGCATTGCCCAGGGCAAGCTTCCCTTGGACTACCTTGCCATTTCAATTCAACCCTGAGCAACTCACACTACAATGCATTTCTTGGACACTCAGGTGCCACAGGACTACTGAGTTTTAAAATTACAGAAGTCTGCCCTGCTGAGACTTTTTACTGAATTAGTTAAATCTTATTGAATTAGGGTTAATAACTTTGAGGACCATTGTATTAAAATACAGTTGTCTGCACTGCATGCACCTTTTCTATAAGGAAGGGGAAGTTAGTCTATTACTTTTGAAGCCAGGCCCCTGCAGAGATACATATACCATTCAAAGTGGAGTCTCTAGGGATGGACAAAAAGTATTTCTGGATAAATAGCTTGTTAACAGCCTCAGAGCTTTCTTCCTGATCCAGCAAATGGATAGGACCTCTTGCATATTAAGGAATATCTCTGAATAGCACAGTTTATTTTGAAATTTGGTGGTGTTTAGACAGGGCCAAGTTTTAAAATAAGCTGCCCAGTTTGCATCACTTATTGCTAGCTATGGGTGTAGTGTAGATGCACCCAATACTTTTTCCACTCAGGCAATGAATTTCTACAAAATATTTCCAGCTAGGGACTACACCTAGAAGAGATGACATACAGGAGTTGGGGAGTACAGGAAGTTGTGGGTGCACTGAATGTTTTCCCCTTTTCTTTCCAATCCACTCCACTGTTCTCTTCTGCATTGCCTCTGGCTTTACTATATATTGTCTGTCAAACAATATCTTAAGTCTGCCATGCTTGGCAAAGGCTAGCCATCCCATAAGTACAGGAAAAAATCCTAGCCCGCTTAATCTTGCTAAGCAAAACATCTTAGTAAAATTATTTGAGAATTAAATTAAACACCCAAAACTTTCAAAAAGCAAGAGCTGGCAGTTAGGCTGGACAGACTAAAACCATTAATTCATTTTTATGAGACAGTTGCATATTTGTGATGAAATTAGTTTCTTATTTTAAAAACCACTCATTTAAATGTTTGATTTTTAAAAGAAACTGTCTAAATCATTGTTTTTGAAAAAACCCATTGATTTGTATCCATCCTGGCATGAATATAGCTATTTGGTGAGGTCTCCCTCCATTAACAGTAATCAGAAATGCTAGAAACTTATACACCCCTTTTATGCCATAGGGCAAGCTTTCCTTCCACTACCTTGCCAGTTTAATTCAACCCCCAATGACTTTAGGTGTGAGGGGAAGGGTCCATTTCGAAGCACTCAAATTACTCACTGGGCTGCAGGAGAAGGCATTTGTTCCACTGAGAACTCTTACCACTTTACAACCAAAGGGACAGTTATGAGAACAAAGAACCAGCAGAACAAAAAACAAAACAAAACAAAAAAAAATCAACTATTTTATTGTAGCCCCTAAGGGCAGAAAAATTGCTTAATCACAAAAGTATAGGTTAGAACACCAGTATCATTTACTGAATAATGGGGGAAAGGCTCAACTGATTGCTTCTCTACACTTTAGCCCTCTGTCAGCTATTCCTGGTGTGTCAGAGGACAGCTACAGAAGTGCCACAGGTGATAAAGGATTCCATAAATAGCTTAGTTTGGGAAGGTTGTCCCCCTAAAAGCAAATATCCTGCTGACTTTATAATTGACTGGACAAGGGAGAGAATAGGCTTTCCTGACTTCTGTTTTGGAAGTAGAACAAGCATTTTATTATCACTACTCTTAGCATATGTGGGAACTGAGCAGTTAAATACAAATTCAAAGTGGTGAATGGGGATGTTTTGGTGCATTAACATTCTTCACATCCTGCAACTGCTGCATACATTGAAAGCTGAACTTAGTCTTATATTCCTTTTTGCATAGGATCTGTAGAGTGTATCAACTGATCAGCTGCCAAGCTATTTCATTAACTAAGTAAAACAAAATTTGATTTCAGTCCTTTACAATAATCCCAACAAGGGCCAGAAATTCCTAGGGTATCTGTGGAAATACAAATTTGTGAAATTTAAATGGAAAGAACCTCCCTCCCCTGAAAACCAATACCGAGGAAGGAAATCTAATCTCTATTTACCGCCTATTCAGAGTTATTGCTACATTAGCAAGTTTTATGAAATCAGTAAGAATCATCCTTTTGTAGTGTAATTATATGATCTGCACCCAAAAGGGAGACAGTATCACACTATGGATCACAGGTCTCAGCTACTCAGTCTGACTTTGGTTCGTGCATCAGTTTTTCAATCTCCAGGTAGAGTTTCTGCACTTGCAGCAGCATTTTCAGATGCTCCAGAGGCACATCACACTCCATAAACTCTTCTCTCTTCGGAACCAGCTTGCATGCATCAGTAGTGCTTCGCTTTTCCTGTAGAACAGAGGGGACATGCTTATGCTGCAGATGGCAAGGATGACTCCCTCAAGGAAGCTTGCTCCTTTGAGAATGAGCCTAAGTTCCTGCCAAGCCCTGCACAGGGACTCAGGGCATCAGTAGGGCAAGATGCCCCTCCCAAAGCCCAGAAGCTGTCACTGCTGGGGGACACGGGGAGGGGGAAGGGAAGCATCCTTCCCCCACTGGCCCCAACAAGGAGCAGCTGTGGCCAAAACAGTTCTGTACTGGGGCCTGTGGGGAGGGGTCCTCCCCCTGGCTTGGGCAGCTGTGCCAAGGCCCTCTAGGAAGTGGCCAGTGCAGCAGATCCAGCCCCAAGGCAGGGGCTATGGTGCCCCAGAACTGACAGGTGCCAGGCAGCCTGCCTTAGCACCACTGACCAGGAGCTGCCCACGTAAGCCCAAGCCCCAACCCAGTTTACATCTCCCCAAACCTGAGCTACTCCCTGAATCCCAAACCCCTCAACCCCATACCAAAGCCCACATGCCCAGCTCAGAGGCTATAATCATACCCCAATCCACAGCCCAGAGCCCGCCCCATCTAACATCTCAAACCCCTCATGCCCAGAGCCCTCAAAAAGTCTCTCCCGCCTCCTGCACTCCAGCCCGGCTGCCTCACATCCCCCTCCTGTATCAACTTATCTAACTCCACCCCGAGCATGGTGCCCTCTTCTGTATCTCAAACCCATCACCACCAAAGCCTTTGCACCCCAGCCCTGAGTCCCCTCCCACTCAGAACTCCTTGGGCCCACTCGTGCCACATGAACTTTGTGTGCACCAATAGGAATGAGATGGGTCAGACATCATGCGCACTAGTGTGGGGGCAACAAAGTTCATTCCCCTCAAGGGTGGGGACAATTCAAGGGAATTCTGATCTGAGCCCTCACGCAGTCTGATACAGGTGTCTGCCCCATAGCCGGAGTATGCTGTGTGCCTTCAAATGCTATTCAGTTCTACAGGAACCCACTGCCACAGATTAAGACAGTGGGCAGGAACCAGCCCTCCTTGCACTCAGTGCTCTGAGTTCAGTCATACACTCACCCTTTGCTGGGTAGAAAAAAATGAAAGTGCTTTGTAACAGAAGTTTCTTCCTTCTGTTGTGATGTTTACCCACCAAGTTGTATTTTTTGCATGGAGCAGCTGCTATTAAAAAAAGCAGCTTTTTAAGTGGAGGGGGTTTTCCAGCTAACTAGGTTTTAACACCATATGATACACCAATGTACCTTGTCCCTGCCCGATCAAAGTTGTTTTTTGCTTCATCAAATCAAGGCTATGACTATTCTTTATATTAGAAATTGGAAAGGGTGCATCAAGAAAGCCAACTGGACAATTATACTTACACACTGTGGTATCTCTGTCCAGTTGCCGTCTGCTAAACAAGTAATATTAAATCTGTCTGCTGCAGGCAGGTGGGAATGGTTTGAAAGCTGGTAGTCAGGAGAGCATTTGAAGGGAATGGTTTCAGTCACATTGTACCACATTTTGTCATCCAGTGCATTGACCACATTTCCATTTTGTACCTTTGGCTTCGGACACTGAACTGAAACTGCAGAAGGGAATCAGTTCATTGAGAGGAATAGATGCACTCAATTACTAGTTATTGACTACCAAGACTTCTTGAAAGCCTCATGACTTAGTGAACAGCAGAGATTACACATACAATAGCCAAGAGATGCCACGAGGGCCCAATGCTAAAGCTCTGATTCTGTAAGTCACCAATTGCAGTGTGATTTCATTCCTCTCTCCTACTCCTCAACACATCCTCAGGTTTTACTGTTATTTGGATGAAAAGAAAACATACTGATTCCTCTTTAGTACCAGCTATGCTGTACCATTTCCAGACATGAACTGTTTAGAGCCATTAAATGAATTCACCTTGGCAAACTGGAACACTCTCATTCCAACCAGTTTTACTTCGTTTATAACATTGGGCAGAAGTCGCTCCAATTAATCTGTACCTAAGAAAAAAGGTTCAAGTTTGTCAGTCAAGTAAGCAAAGAACTAGTTAACAGCCCAGAAAGATGGAATGGGTTTTCTTTCAGCCAGTAGGTGGAGACAAATGATTGAGCAGTAGCAGGGACCTGCAAAATATGGCCCATGAGCTGGATGCTGCCTGCCAAACTTTCACATCTGGCCCACCACAATGGCTGGGACACCAATGTCCCCCAAACCAGCAAGACCCGTGAGCAGGCTCCCTGCCTGCTGCATCCCTAAATGCTGCTCAAAGCAGCCAATTTCTGGGATCAGCACTTATTGCACAGTATATGGTCCTTGATGGGGAAAGGGTCTCCTCATGCTGCCCCTACTCTCAGGGCAATCATCATACCTCCCACTTGCCAGAAGCCAGCCAATAGGAGATGCCTGGGCTGTGCTTGTGGATGCAAGCATGTGGAGCCTCCCCTCCACCATAACGCACCACAGATACACACATGCTGAATCTAGCAGCCAGCTGCTTTGAGCAGCACATTGGGCTGTAGCAGACCAGAAGCCTGCCTGAGAACCCTGTTGGGCTACTAGACAGGAGCTGTCTAGAGTAAGCACCTCCAAGCCCAAGCCTGCATCTGACATCCCATTCCTTCCTGCACTCAACCTCCCTTCCCATGCCAAAAACCCAAATCTCTGCACCCTCTCCTGCACTAGGTCAGCTCCCTCCCAGACATGGCACTGCCTCCCAGACCCATCCCCAAGGTCAAGATCCACTCCTGCAATCAGTCACCCTCCTGTTCCCCAATCCCCTACCAAGAGCTTCTTTCTGCACCCCACTTCTGTCCCAGTCCCTGTACCTGCTCCATTAATGTCATAGAAAAATGGAGCACTGACTACTTACCAAGTTCTTGGAGAGGTTCTGCCCTACCTCACCCCAGCAAAAAAAAAAAAAAAAAAAAAGTATTGCCCCCTCCATGGGCCAGAGTAATTTCACTTAAACACTATAGGACCAAGGAATTCTGATTTAAGGCAACCTAGAATGTCAAACTGGTGAGTACAAACATGCACAACTGCTCTTACCTACATTTGTTAGAGGTGTGCTAAATCTCTGCAAAGGGGAACAAGTGATACTTCTAAATTGGAAATACAGATATTTGCATTCTTCCAAATGGGTAGAAGAGGGCTGCAACCATCCCCATTATAGATCTCAAATGCCTAGAAAGCATGGTATGTTAGACCTACTTCACCCAGGCTAGAAGGCAGTTAACAAGCAACCCTAGACACAGGCATTTAACTTCCATGTGGTTTGGAAAGCCAGCCATCCTCAGAGAGGTGCCTCCCTTACTCTATCTCCTCATTCAGCCTGGGCCTCTGCATCCACCCACAGACATGCAATTCCTCTTCCCAGAGGACTTAACTCATGCTGCCAGGGAAAGCCCTCTGAAGTTTGATATAGTGAAAACCAAAACCATATACACCTGCACTTGTGTTTTTTTCTGTCCCCATGAAAAGCAATTTATTAGCTACCTCAAAATTTAGGAAGCCTCAATCTTTTAAGTGGGTGCAACAGGCCATTTATGATTCCCCCAAATCTTGCCACAACCCAACTAAACTTGACACCAGCTTGATAACTATTGACATCCAAGGGATATTTGCTGCTGCAGAACAGAAAAAAGGACTGCTTCTACCTGGGGCTACCTTTTGTGGGTCATGTTCTGCTACACACTACCAGCACCTGTTCAAGATGCTAAGACTAACCAATAGCCATCCCTGTAACAAGGCAGAGATGGCACACTGATTAGTGAATGCTGCCTGCAGGTAGGGCTCACCTTAGGGCTCATGATTTAGCACTTGCTGGGGTGATAAGGTTTGAGTCTAGGATCCTGAAAAACATTGAGTGAATTAGGTGGCCACCTCCCACTGAGTAATAATCATGAGTGGATCGCTAGCTGCCTTCAACTCTTTCAAAGGACACAGGCATAATTCTTAAGGCCCATCCAGTAACAGATTTATAGCACCAGACTTCTATGTTTGTGAAGTTTAGTTTTCCATACTGCACCAGTGGTTTTACACCAACCTAAGTTCTGTTAGACATCAAAACAGGAAATTTGTCACATACCCTTCATTGCAGGAGAAGTCTGCTCGCATGTGAGTCCTCGTGTCTGTTAAAACAACCTTGCCATTTTCTAGTCTTAGTATTTCACATGATCTTCCTAGAAGAGAGAACAAGTATAGTATTAATGGGAAAAGAAAAAGGAGAATAGACCAATCCACACCATCTAACAAATGCCATAGAAGATCAAGCCAATGGTCTAGTCCAGTGGTTTAAGGTGAGGGCCCATTTGTAAGTGATTATGGTCTGTTGTCAATCAATTGTCTGGGCATGGACACCCTGGGACCATTTCAGTCAGGTCCTGCATATCCAGAGGGACAGGCAGTAGCAGTGTTCCCTCTGAGATTTTCCATCTATGAGCAGAGTGACCTTTATCTTGGGCACCAATATGACATCATGGACACTTGTTTGGATGTGTGCCACTGGGGCACCCACCAGTTACCAACCAAGTTACATAGCTATAAAATTTGAAGTATTATGTACAAAAAAATGTTGAAATGGATAATTAAAAAGATGCATGACCCTGCATCCACCTACCCTGAAAGCCACCCCACTTGCTGGACCTATGGTTGCCAGGTGTCCAGTTTTGAACTGGACAGGTCAGTATTTGAGCTTTCTGTTCAGGAAAAATTTTCTGAGTAAAATGTAATGTAGATGGGGATGTCATGTCAAGTGTGTCTGGTATTTTAATTGAATCCATCTGGCAACCCTAGCTGGACCCTGCCCCCAACACACACTGGGCAGGCCCCACTGCCTTTGCTCCCATCAGAACCACACACAGCCAGCCAGTACCTATATAGGCCTGACTAAGTGCCTACCCCCCACATCCCTGTAGTTGTGCCCAGCCTTGCAATCTGCCCCCCCATGCCACAAGTATACATGCCAGGGCCATGCTAACTTCCTACCCAAACATCCAGCCAGTACCTGGGCCTAAGGTCCACAATCTAAGTGCTGTATCCTGGAGAAGCAATAAACCCTCATTCTACTGGCTGGTGGAATCTATTCTTGCTGCTACAGGGCTTCAGGATCAGGGAGAACTCTGAATCACTGTCACACCCAGGATTGCACATCACATGTTCTCTCCTGCCCATTACCCAGAGACCTGTGTCCAACTCCACACTTGTCCCTCTCCTCCCAAATTTACCTGTACCCCGTAACTCCCCCATCAAACAGCTGCCTTTGCCCTCCCCATACCCAGCTTCTGTTCTGGGCCCTCACTGTCCTTGGCCCCACTGCCTCCTCCACGTCATGCCCCACCCTGATTCTCACATAGCTCCTCTGGCCCTGGCCACTGGAGCAGCTGCATGCTGCCTGCCATGTGGCTCCTTTGGCCCTGGCTGCTGGAGCAGCTGTCTGCATGGCTCTGCTTAGGAGATGGGTGGGGTGGACATCTCTCTGGGCACCAGCACAAGCATGCAGTTTAGAGTGATCCCTGTTGGGCACTGCCTGGCACTTAGCTGTGGGAGCAACCACTGTAAGCTGTGACAAGGGGCTGGCTAGACTTGGCTCTCAGCTGTGGTCCTTGCAACTTCTGCAGTTGCAGCACCACTTAGCTTTAGCCCTGCCCCACAAGTGGGCCAAATCTGCCTAAGTGGCATTGTGGTCTACCTCATGGAGCCGCAGTGTCACTCAGATTTGGGCTACCACCAGGGCAGGTCAGTAGCTAGGCTAATAGGTCCTGTGCCTCAAGGCCTCAGCAAGAGGGCCTGTACCATGACCTGCTTTGTGCACCTGCCTGACACTTGCCAGGGCAAGCACCCCCTTGACTCAGCAGGAGCAACAAGTGAGGGGCTGGCAAGGAGCTGCAGAAGGATCCCCACTTGCCCTCCTCAACCTCTACAACAAGAATACTCTAAAAACTGAGATGCTTTCTCCAGTAAGGGAACCTTATGTCAAACAAAGAATTCACCACTGCTACATGGAATTCAAAACCGTGACTAACCAATATGAAGTTAGAACTCCAGATGATTAACAGGGACAACTTTCATTCATGAAGGCAAAAACCTCATGTTGATCAAGGATTGTACTCTGCAGAGGCCTTGCAGACATGGGTAAGGCCCAGTGACTTCACAGGACCCAAGCATGTGGCTATTCACAGGGACAGAGTGCAAATGTCAACAGCTATGCATGTAACTTCAAGCAGCATTAAGTAATACACAGAAAGCTATGCTTTAATGTGCACAAGGCAGCAGAGTTAAGGTCCATCAACTTCCAACTGCACATAGGTAACTAGTTTAACTATTTTTTGGCACAGACTATTGCTTACATATTCTTGATATGAGTAAATTTTCAAAAACTGTATTCTTAGTAAGCCAAGAAAAGTATTTTATCCAAGGTATTATGAATTTGTTTTATCAAGTTCATAATACATTCAACACTGGATTTACTTTTAGTATAGTCATTTGAATAAGGCTGAATTCTATATTCATTATTTTCTACAACCACCACTTGTACAATAAGATCGGTCCCTCAAAGGGTATCCAAGAATAGAGTGACTTAAATTTTTCAAAGACAGTACACAGATATTACACTTGGTTGCAGAACATGTGTTGCTGGGGATGGATTTGGGCAGAAGGTGGGAGGTAAAAGGTCTGGGCAGCAGAAAAGGTGCAGCAGCAGAGTGGGAGTGTGGAGCCTTGGTGGGTTGGGGTACACGAGGGGGATGGGGAACCCTTCCCCAGCTCCCTGCCTCCAGCCACTTCCAGACACCCCCGCTCCCATTGACCCGTGATTACAGCCAATGGGAGTAGTAAGGAAAGTTCCCAGGTGATCCATTCCCTGTGCTGCAGTTCCACCAGCCACTGGGAAGGAGAGCAGCAGCCCATGAGTCTCCCCCACCCTTCCTAACAGGAGTGCCAGCACCGGCTTCCTCTCACCAGGGTGGGGGAGCCCCGGGGCTGGAGCGCCAGCATTGGCTCCACGCTGCAGGGAGGGGAACCCCCGAGCCTGCGCCCACCTGTAAGATAGTCAGAGACTACTAGCAGTCCGCAAGCCACACTGAGAACCACTGGCCCGGGCAGACAGGCGCAGGAGGGACGCCAAAGGCACAGACTATTCCAGCCCCTGTTGCACTCCTGCGGCCGCGCGTGGAAGTGGCTTGGTGAGCGCTCGGAGGCGGCTTTGCTGGGCGGGTGGTTTACCTCTTGCCCCACCACCCGGAGCGCGCTGACACACTGGCAGTCTGCCGGGCACTAACCCGGGCACGCTGGGGTCTCCCTACAACCCCAGCCATTGCAGCCGGCCGCTGGCCTGCCCTGCCGCAGGGAATCCAGATCTTTAGGAGGGTGGGGAACGGCCCGCAGGGGACAAAACTGCAGCAGCAGGAGAGGCTCCCGAGCCACCAAGCCAGGGGAGAGGGGGGCGCGGCCGCAACTCACCGGGCCGCGGCAGCACCACCAGCAGCAGCAGCGCCAGGAGCCCGCGGGCGGCGAGCGAGCAGCGCGGACCCGAGCCCATGACCGCTCGCTGGACTGGCGGGGATCGGGCTGCGGTGCCTGGGCTGCAGCCCAAATTAGGAGGCGGGACCACCGCAAAGTGGGCGGAGTCTGGGCACTGCGGGGCGGGGCTTGCCATTGCTGGGAACCCACGTGCTGTCCGGGCAGCAGGTGCCGGGGGGAGGCTGCGCTTGGCCGAGGTGATTGACTCGTTCCGGGAATCAGCAGCCGGCCTGCAGTGGGGGCGGCGGGGGGCCGTGCTCGAGCCCACGCGTGGAAGGGCAGCTGCTCGTGGGCTCACAGGTTCCTGGCTGCAGACCCCGGCCCTTCCAGCCCCGGGCTCACAGCCCCGGCAGAGCAACAGCTTCGGCGCTGGTGCTCAGCAGGAGTAAGTTCCCAGCCGCTTCGGGTTTCCTTTCCCGTCTGCGCCCCCGGGGGCAACAGCCTTCCCCGGCCCTGCCGCCTGCCCCCACCCGGGTTCTGCCCACCGAAAGAAGACAGTTGGTGGGGCTATTTCAGTCCTCTTTACTCTGTCCCCCAGCCAAGCCCCTTCACTCCTGCCATACCCAAGCCAAGGGAAAGGCCAGAGGCAGTCCGAAGGGGCTGCGTTAAATTTCACACGGCCACAAGCTAGCAGCAGTCCCAGGAAGGTAAGATCTGACTCCTACATATTCACTTGGATTACACCCCCGGCTACAACTAGGGATGGACCAGGATAACTGTTTAGTTAGTTAACCAATAGGCCTGGGCTTATTGGTTACCACCTCATCCTGTTGGTTCTTTCCAAAGTCCACAGCACAGGGCCACAGCTGGCTCCCTGAGAGCAAGGTAGGAGCCAGTACATGCTGGGAGCCAAGTGTGCCCCCTACTACTCCCTCCAATACAGAGGCAGCCGCTAGCTCCCCAGGAGCAAAGCTGTTGGCAGGAGCATCTGCACCCTGGGAGCCAATTGCTGCCCCACACTGCTGACTGACAGAGGCAGCAATGTGGGGCAGGAGCCAGTGCACGCCAAAGCCTTCTGCCACCATGCATGCATGTAACTGTCACATTATCAGCAGTTACCCTGTAACATCCCTAGTACAAACATTAAGACAGGTCAGCTAAATGGTAGGCAATGCTTATCAAAGTATGTGAAAAGAGAACAAACATTCCTAGGGGGTTGTGAGAATTCAACTTAAGTTATGCCAGTCCTGAGCACATGAGAGAGGAGTGAGGCATGTGACTGGCAGATGACAAGCAGTCTGAATAGAAATGCATTTCCCTAAAATGTCATTAACCTTGCTGGGTTGACTGAAGTGTTACCAGCCTCTTGCCCAGTAAGTCAGTCATACCTGAGTTTGAAGAGGCTGCTCCTGTGCCATTGAGCGGTTGGCATCCCCATGGAAAACTCTTGCAGTTGCTTAATCCATTGGTGATCACCACTGACAGCCAGAAGGGTATAACTTCATAAGAACACAGCTTACCCCAAGAATGCAAAACAGTGCAAGGTGGCACTGACAGCTTGTCACCTTCAAGCCATCCCAGGTATTCGCTCTGGCCAAGTATCTCTCTCCACCCCTAAACCAAAGTCTCTTTCCTCATTTTCTCACTCTGGGGACCTTGAGACTCTAGGAGCCCTAGCTCTCTGATAATATGCTCTGCCCCCTCTCCCCTGCATCTGGAGTTATAAACACTCTGATAGCAGATGGGCTCAATCATTCTTTTCACTCCTGCTAATCTATTGCTACTTACTCTATACCTACTCTTTCTTCCAGGACTGGACTTGGGGCCTCTCATCAGCTGCCAAGATTTTACCAGCTTTACCTTTTTTTTCCCCGAGCCTTGCTTGTCTCACTAACACTTTTCTTGTCCAGGTTGGCCAAACTGAACACAATCTAGTCTCAAGAAATAACAGTAAGGTATTATCTGGTTCTTAACACACATCCTCTCATCTAGGAAGTGACTGAAGTCTCCCTTCTAAGGCCACTTGGTGCTAGGTTCCTAGCTTATATAGGCCCCAGTTGTTTCTGCCCAGCTGAGTTTTGTCTACTTAAATCCCTGTCTTCTGGTGCAGGTGGGACAGTTAATTGGCCCACTTAGCCAATTTATTCCTCCCAGGTCTTGGGGAGGGGAATAAACATAGCTAATTGAAAATGTGTATTGAAATGACGACTTTTCCTTTTGTTTTTGGGGAACTCAACAGTTAGCAGCAGTAAGCAGCCTGTGAGAAAAGAGGGGCATGAGTGATAGTTAACAAAGAAGCTAAATAGCAATACCAATGTGTTTGTCTCAGGTGTGTGTTCTTCAGGCTGTCAGAATCCTTCTTAGGGTGAAGCTGGTTCTTAACCCACCCATCTATTCCTTATCCCAAACAATAGGTCAACACCTGAAATCATTCCTCAGTATTTAAATTAAGCAAAAATTCTTGGCTGTGATGGCTGTTTACTGAAGTACATACATTAATCCAGTCTTTATGTAACTACTGCTGGATTTGCCCCTAGAACTTTCTTAATTTTTTCATTTCTACTGACTGAAAAATGAATATAAATATTGTAATGATGTGTAAAAACAATATAATTTTGTAGTAAACAAACTTGACATGATATATCTGTGTACCCTTAGTTAAGGACTGCAGGATTTGCCCCAAGAATTTTGTTTTTTTCATTTTTAAAAACTGTCTGCAAAATGAATATAAATATTGTCATGATGTGTAAAAGCAATGGTATTTTGTAGTAAACAAACAGCCAAGATGTTTGACAGATGATTAAGAGAGGCACAGTCCCATAGAGTGAGTTAACCATCTTTGGCTCTGTTCCTGTACATTGCTATATGTTGCTAGTCTTCTCAAACCTCCCCCTCCTGATTTCACTGGTACTCTGTAGGGCTGCAGGATTATGCTCACATCAAACGGCTTGCAGACATATCGTCCAAATACTTACTTAAAATATAAAATAGAGAGGCTACATCTACACTGCAGACTTTTTGCACAAGAACAGCTGTTCTTGTGCAAAAACTTGCAGAGCGTCTACACTGCACGCACGTTCTCGCGCAACTAAATTTACAGTAAAGCATTGGAAAATGGCTTCTTGCGCCAGAGTTATTCCTGTCCCCACAAGGAATAAGCCCTCTTGTGCAAGAGCTCTTCCACAAGAGGGCAGTGTAGACAAGCAACAGAGGTTTCTTGCACTAGAAAGCCCTATGGCTAAAATAGCTATCAGAGCTTTCTTGTGCAAGAGAGCATCCACACTGTCATGGATGCTCTTACACTAAAGCACATGACAGTGTGGACGCACTCTTGTGGAAGACCTTTTGCACTAGAACTCTTGTGCAAAACAGTTCTTGCGCAAGAAGCCTGAAGTGTAGACGTAGCCATAGCATTCTAGACTTTTCCTTTCACTGGAACTGAGTGGCCACATCACATCATTGGCCACGTGATCTAAGAGGATGTGGACTCATATTTTTCAAATGTCAACCTGATTTATTTTCTCCTTAACAAGCTATTTTATTTATTTCTAAATTACAGAGGGAGTTGGTAATGACTCACATTTAGGTTGCCTAACATTTACTCACATGTATAAAACATTTTTTGAGCTTCTTTGAGGAATTCTAACACTTCCATTATTTACAGCAGACCTCTGAAGTGTAACAAAAATAAAGCCTTCAGATTACAAGAATGTCTTTCCCTTTCAGATTTGAAATTCCATTCACATTTGTCTGAGTTATTCACTGTCAGAAGCTGTCATTCCCCTTCTCCCATTGTCATCTTCCAGAGTTGTTCATGTGGAAGATGTGGAGGAGAGAGGGGGAGCTGAGCCAGACTACCCACAATCCAGTGTAACGCCAGTGGCTCATATCCTATTTGAAGATAATAATCTTCTGCTATTTGCGAGTGTAGTTCATTCTATAGCTCAAGAGGTAGCTGTATAGCCACGCAGCGGTGTTAGAGTTTGGTGAATGTGTGTGAAAGGAATAAGCCCAATAATCAAATGTCTTTCTTAAAAAAAAAAAAAGCCCTTGGAAATTGCATACAGTAAGAACTATGTTCAAATGGATTTTAGTTGCAAAGCCAAACATAGTAAGCATGTGGGCTACTAGAGAGCCTGCTTTAATTCTTCTTTGGGCTGGATAACAGGTGCAGGCACCCCTCAGTCTTTACTGTTGAAGATGTTCCACTTTACTCACCAAAGCTACATCTACAGTGCAAGGTTTTTGCGCAGAACAGCAGTTTTTGCACAGAAACCCGTGGGGCGTCCACACCTCAAATGTGCTTTTGCGCAAGGAAATCAAGAGTAAAATGGCAGAGGAGAGGGCTTTTTCCAGCGTAGGTAAACCTCCTTTTACGAGGCATAACTCTTTTTTGCTCTACAGCTATTGTGCAAAAAGGCAAGTGTGGATGCTCCAGAGGAAAAGCACTGGTGCTCTGATGGCCAGTCTGTGAATGGCCATCAGAGCTTTCCTGTGCAAGAATGTCCATGCAGTGTGGATGCTCTCGCGCAAAAGCAAATCGCTTTTGCAATGTGCTTTGAGGTGTGGGCGTGCTCTTGCACAAGAAGTTTTTGTTCAGAAACTCTTGCACAAAAGGCTTCTTGCACAAGAAGCATGTAGTGTAGACATTGCCCCATTGATTGAGTCAAAGCAAGACTCAAAAGCAAGCAGCTATTATCTAGTACAGTGGCCACAGCATGCACCTGAGTTGGGTGAGACCCTAGTTTGAGTGTTGCCTGAGACTGTTGTGATAGGATCTTAACAGTGAGGCTTTCCTCTTGAAGATATTCCCCTTTAATTATCAGTTATTTGGGCCAAATCAAAGTTGGACCTTCAGAAGCCCTTTCTAGAGCAATGGTTTGGGCTCTTTAACTGTTGTGTTAACTACAAGGGTTTGGTTCCCCCACATTACTAGCTAGTCCTGCAAATAAACACTTGCCTCTTTTCCTTTTGAAGAGATTCCACTTTAATTGATGATCAATTAGGCCAAAATAAGCATGATTAGCAAGGAGTGCTTTGCAGCACAATGGTTACAGTACATGCTTGTGATATTGGTGCTGCTGGTTCAGTTCTTGTCTGGCCAAGAAAAACAGGTTCTCCTCCATCCCTTTCTGTTGCTGTTCCACTTTAGTTAACTATTGATTGAGTCAAAGCCAAAGTCAAGTCTAAGTCATGACCCATGGCATAATGGTTAGAGTAAATACTTTAGCTTGCTTTGCATTACTTGTTCTGTTGGTCCCTGAGCTGGAAATTGAATAGTGCTAAGCTTTGCTGTTGAAGATGTTCCACTTTAATTATCTGTTAATTGGGCCCAAGTAAGGCTCACACAATAGACATTCTCTGTAGTGCAGTGGTTACAGCAGTTGCTTGTGTTGCAGGCTTCCTGAGTTCAGATCCCTGCTCTACTAATAACATTTTTTAATTGGAATAGGGAGCTCTATTAGTCTTGCTGGGGGCGCTGCTCCTCTTTACGTAAGTATGGCCTCAGGCAGTGGGAGCATTCAGATCACTCTGCAACCCAGTGGTTGGGTGCTTGCCTAGGAGGTGGGAGATCCTTGGATTTCCTAGTTCAAGTTCTACCTGTGCCTTTTTAGAAGGAGTTTTACTGGGGAAAGTCTCTCTCCCAGGTGACTGGGGAGGTGGCAGATTTCTATTTAGGTCCCTGCTCCGGGAGGAGCCATTGTCTTAGGAGAAAAAGACTGGGACTTAGACTGGAAGCTCTCACCTCTCTGGGGGTGGGGTTAGGGGTGGGTGGTATTCCTCTAGGTCAGTAGTCTCCAGCCTTTTTATACCCAAGATCACTTTTTAAATGACAGACCAAGCCAAGATCTACTGCCCCGCCCCTTCCTTGAAGTCCCGCCCTCTCTATTCTCCTCCTCTCCATCACTTGCTATCCCCTATCCTTATACTGCTACTTTTAAAAAAAATTCCCACCATTCCTCGCAGCTACTTACCTATACTGTTGCTCGGTGAGTAGCTGCTCCTCAAATGAGGAAATCTAATGTAAATGTACTGTGCAGGTGCGCAGTTCAGAGAGGGCTCAAGAGCTACTCTTAGAGCCTCCAAGATCTACCGGTAGATTGCGATCTACTGGTTGGTGACCACGGCTCTAGATGCTGAGGGCTAAGACAGTGGCTGATCCACCAACGAGCGCAGAAAGAAATCAAAGAGTAGACATTAGCTCTAAGTAGAGCTTGAGTGTTGTCTTGTGTGGACTGGGAATAGCCTGCACTCCATGACAGCTGCTGCCCATGCTGTGCCGGGGTTGTGGGTAAGCGCCAGACACCCAGCCTCTTGCACGATCACCCTGACCTCTTCTATCGGGAGCACAATTAAGACCCAAACGCCAATTTTTTCTGTCATGTGAGAGTGCTTTCTATAGCCCCCACAGCGATGGCACCAGCTTGCAACGCCACATTAGGCCATACTGGGTTTCCGAAGTAACATTCCATTTCCTATCCAAATACCGTATATACTCGAGTATAAGCCGAGTTTTTCAGCACAGTTTTTGTGCTGAAAAATGCCCCCCTCGGCTTATACTCGAGTCAGCCTCCTGCTCGCGGGCGGGCTCAGTGCGTCTCTGCCGCCGGCCGGGTCTAGCAGCTTGCAACGCCACATTAGGCCATACTGGGTTTCCGAAGTAACATTCCATTTCCTATCCAAATACCGTATATACTCGAGTATAAGCCGAGTTTTTCAGCACAGTTTTTGTGCTGAAAAATGCCCCCCTCGGCTTATACTCGAGTCAGCCTCCTGCTCGCGGGCGGGCTCAGTGCGTCTCTGCCGCCGGCCGGGTCTAGACGCGTGAGCCCGGAGCTCCGGCGCCCCTGCCCCTGCCCTCCTGGCCCTTCCGGCCCCTGCCCTCCCGACCCCCTC